ATTCCACATAAATGAGTCTTGTTCCTTAAGGATTCCTTTGGTGTGTGCATGTGTGTGTGTGTGTGTGTGTGTGTGTGTGTGTGTGTGTGTGTGTGTGTGTGCGCGCAATATATTCAATACCGTTCAAACGTTTGGAATCGGTAAGATGTTTTTGAAAGTCAGCAATGATGTTCTTGTTGGATCAAAATGAGAGTAATAGGTAACACTTTATTTAAAGGTGTCCTTGTTACAAATGTTACATGTACTTACTATTATAATAACAATAAATTAAGCATAATTACTTGCAAGTAACCCTAAGCCAAACCCTAATCCTAACCATATAGTAAGTACATATTACTCAGTACTTAAATGTATAGTTACACTGTAACAAGGACACCTTAAAATAAAGTGTAACCAAGTAATATTGTGAAATTTTATTGCAGTTTAAAATAACTTTTCAATTTTTCAATATATTTTAAAATGAAATTCAATCCTGTGATGCAAATCTGAATTTTCCAGTCTTCAGTATCACATAATCCTTCAGAAATCATACTAATATGCTGATGTGGTGTTCATGATACATTTGTTATTATTCTCAATGTTGAAAAAAGTTGCAATTTTTAATATTTTAGTGGAAACCGTGATAGCTTTTTTTTCGGGATTCTTTGAAAAATACTTTAAAAGAGCTGCATTTATATGGAATAGTAATAATTTGTAACTTTATAGCTACATCTTTTTACTATCACTTTTGATCAATTCATTGCATCCCTGCTTGCTAAAAGTATTTAATTCTTGAAAAATGTCTACATCCGAGAATGAATCCAAATGTTCAAAAACAGCTATCGGAAACCAAATTCATTGGATTCCAGCATTTTTTTTTAGAACCGGTTCTTGATTTCCAACCCCAGCCCAGTGTGTGCGAGTGTCCTCCAGCACACTGTTACAGGCTTCCTGTGACTTGTGCCTTTGTATTGCTGCAGTCGGGCCTTGTCGAATGAAACAATTACTAATTGTGACACACACAAGCGCACACATACACGCACAACACCCTGACACTCGCAGTCCCATCCCTCTCTCTGTATCAGAGTCAGTTTCTGGCTCTCGGCCTCTATGTCTGTGTCATGCTCGCTTTTTTCGCCATTATTGCTTTTTGATCAGCAGCGAGGGGCACCCTTATCACTGTGGTTACTGCTGGGGGATTTATTGGGGTGGGGGTTGCTCAGCAGCGGTTGGCGTGGCGACCCGAGAGGGTGGATTTCCCGCGGCGCAGGCAGAAATGTCCTTTAAATCGCTCAAAGACTTGGGCGTCTCCGCAGAGAGAATAGGGTCCTTCTGCAAGAGATGGATGACTCGAGTCCAGAGGTCTGTGTTTCTTCTCTTTACCTCCGACCTTTTCTTTTTATCGGTTGCTGCTCCTTAACTCAAGGCCTTGTTCTTTTGAATAGAATGACAAATCAATTCATCGGCTTAAAGAGAAATGAGGCTTTGTGAATGGCCGAGTGAGTTAGTTCTTTATGGCTTTTTTCCACTTCTAATCTGTAAATG